TTCTGCAGTAAGAAAGCATCAGCAATTACTGGTACAAACTTTGTTCCCTTCTTATATATAATCCGGAAATCACAGGAATTGATTCCAAAATAGACATTGTAACTTTCCCTTTTCAGAATTCAATCTTTGAAAAAATGTCAATCTTTCAAAATTCATTTCTAAATCAAAAGTTACAAATACCTCCACACAACTGCAAAACGCTTTATATAATTGATATCTATGAAATAAGCATTAAAATACCAATGACATGCATAGACTATTGTGAATGAATGGAAGGGAAAAACATCTTGTGTTCTTTGCAAAGACCAAATATTATGAAGATGTTTATCCCAAATCAATCTATAAATCAATTTCTAATTTTAATACATACTCAGAAAAAGAATCAACTAGATAGTCTATAAGAACTGAATAGGCTATTTCTAAAATCCACATTAAAAATGTTCCTGAAAATAATGAAAAATGTTCTAGAAAAATAATGTGATCAGCTTTTTTAGATATTAAGGCATATAATGACTAGTATACAGTAACAAGTATACACGGTTAGAAAATAGATCAATTTAATAAAAAGGAGTCCAGAATTAAATCCAAATGTAACAAGAAAGACTTTTATACACAATAAAAATGGCACGCCACATGTATTTCCATATTTCCAGAGGAGAAAGATAATGAATGATGTTTGGACAACAGAGTAGCTGTATTGCACCTATATTATACTCTTTATAGAAAAATAGATTACATGTTTCAATATTTTAAATGTAAAAGAAAACAGAAAAACATATAAGGAGAAAAGATGAGAAAACAAGTCTATATTTAGAAGTCTTTCTAATTATAACACAAAGGTTAAAAGCATTTAAAAAATCATAAATTTAACTATGCAATATAAAAAGCAATAGTCCATAGCCAAAAATACTATAAGCAAAAAAAAGTAATAAATTGGAAAAATGTGTTTGCAACAATATAACACAATTACACTAGCAGCAATTTATTCTACAGATATATTTGTGTATTTGTAAATTTATATATATATATACTGAGACACCATTAAAATACCGTAAAAGTGAAAACTGAAAATCTTGTAAAACATCACACAATAGGGAATCAATTATCAAATATTAATAATATGCTTATATTCAAAGAAGAATTACATAACCATTAAAAAGAAAAAAGCAATATTTTTATGTATTGATATAAAATAATTATTGAAAGATTTTTAAGTCAGAACAAAGTATACAATATATATAACATGCTATGCTATTTCCCCCCAAAGAATTAAATACATTAAAAACAAACAACTGGTTTTCCAGGGGTCTGTAAACTACAGCCCATGGGTCTAAACTGGCCTGCTACCTGTTTTTGTAAATAAAGTTTTACCGGAAAATTGTCTAGGGCTGCTTTCATGTTATAACAGTAAAGTTCAGTGGTCATATCAGAGACCAGATGGTCTAAAATATCTACCCTCTGGTCCTTTACATAAAGTTTATGACCCCTGACTGATTCTATAAGCCTCATTTCCATTGCTAATGTTTTTGTTTAAAATACGGGTTATCTGAGCTCCCCGTATGATAACCAATTCTAATGTGCTAATAAGATTTATGGGAAACCTGTTAGAAGCAATGACTCTAGAAGTGATAACTTTTAAAATTAGAATTACTCATTCAGAATCATTTCCAGTGTTTTTCAAAAATACAACCATCAAAATCTCAGCTTCTGACATGGTGAAGGCCAAGGAATTTTGTTGAGGTTGGTGAGTGCTAAGGAGGCAGAGAGGTAGGTGTATTTTGAAAAAGTTTCCCAAGGGATTCTGACAAATCTTTGCTTACTCCCACTAATTAGTCTGACATGCAAGACCGAGTTGGAAAAACTGCAGTTATTATCTGGAACTATACAACTAATATATACAAGGTAACTAAGAAGTGCGTTAAAAAAAAAAAATCACATTTAGAATCATGTATTTTAGATGGGAAATATATTTGGGACGTAAACTTCCAACAAAAAGTTTCAAGTTTAGCTCATGGATTCGGAAGAGTTCACATGCAATAACAAATGAGCTAAAGGAGTGTACAGTAGACAGTTTCAGAGCTTTTCTAGCTAAGAAATCTGATCAACTTTAAAAAAAAAACCCTCTTAAAAATGTTACTAACTAGTGTAAGACCTTTAAAGAAAAAATATGACTAAAATTTAAATCTAAACCATAAAATGAAAAAGTCATCTCGATTGAGACAAATACCTTCCATTCTTCTACTTTTGCATTGACAGCTACCATGACTGGATCATCTTCTTCGTTTTTTGCTTTCAAAAGATCCGTAAGCTCCTGTACCTAAAAGCCAAGATTTATTTGAAGAACTGATGTAAATTGGTGTAATATAAATGTATTTGTTATATACACACATATGCATATTTACATATATATTATATAAACACAAATATACACACACATACATATATGCACACTTACATATAGGTAATATATTTGTACATATATGCACATACATATATACACACATGGACACACGTATTTGTATGCACACATGCACAGATACATTAGAGTAGTCCCACAGTTAAAGGTGAATTTTAATGGCTTTTGCATTTTTGTAGTAGCGTTATTATCTTTTATTACTAAAGAATTACACTTTTGAACATTACTTTTAAATTGGCTTAATCCCCCATAAATAATGATCAATGTATGGGTTTCTAATATATTTATAGTGTATTTATTTTTAAGATAAAATTAAATTTTATGATCCATAGGACATTTGAGAATCATCTGTAGAAAATTCCTACTATTATGAGCTTTACAGGACTGTTGTCTACATTCTCGTTCAAGTGTCATTTACATATCCTAGATGACAAGAACACAAAGCGTGCAGGATTAGAGAAATATACATGAACAAATACATTAGCATGGCAACATATTACAATATTAGGACCACAGACAAAAATCACACCCTAAGAAGTTCAAGTTCTTGCTAATTGCAAACAAATGGTAATGAGACAAAACAAAGTTTACATAAATAAGTCATCCTAACAGGATTTCTTACTTGAAGTTGATAATGACTATTTTCTTTTTTTAACTGGTCCATTATATTATCTGTCTGATGCACAATAGCTTTCATCCTATTATATTCATCAGTCATCTTTTCCATTTCTTGTACAGACTCTTCCAGATTTTTTCTCATTTCTTCATTCTGAACTTCAATTTTCTCATTTGCTTCTGTTAAAGTCTAAAACAGTTAAAAACATTATGCTTAAAATATCATTTTTTATGAAACTAAAATGTAAACCAATTTAAAACTAAATGAAGCCATTAAGTGTCCATTAAAAAAAAGAATTTTTTGTGGACCTTTAGTATGAGCTGGTGTTGACCAGTCAATTCAAATTAAATATCAAGAAAACTGTACATAAGGCCCTCCAATAATGCCCAAGGTAAGAACATACAAAAAGAATGAATAAAAAATCGCAATTCAAAGTTGCAACTTATTTAATGTTTCATAAATACACAGTTGTAGATTTACACTAAAGAATTTACACGTAGGGTTAAATTATAATGAAATTCAAGTTTCATAAGAATCATTGCTCTGAACACCCTTCCATCCATTTTACCTGAATTTCATCTAGATATTGGACAAGTTCATAGTTTTTTTTAGACAACTGTGATCGGTAGTCACTGTCTTCTCCTCTTCTTGATAGAAGTGTTTCTTTCTGTGAATCTATTTGTTTCTGGTAATCCATAATATCCTGACGAAGCTGTTCATTCTGAGGGTAACCAAACACCACATTCCATCAAGGAAACCATTCATCAGGAAGAAATATAATTGCATCTTCTAAATAGTGCTCTGTCTATTTAAGACAATATTTCCTTAAATTCCCCAAGGTTTTACTATCCTTAAAAATCTCACCTTTTTCTTTAGACGTTTGTTCTCCAGAAAGGACAGGTAAGAGGTAATTAGCAATAAGAAAAGCAATACATAATTAAAAATAATGATCAGAAATTAAAGAAAGCAAAAAAGAAATTTTAGGAGAATGAGGTATATTATTTTGGATAACCAAAGAAAATTAACATTATTGACCAAAACAACACTTTATGTTAGAAAATTAAGATTTCTTATCAGAATAAACAATATAAAACTATTATTTGGCTTAGAAGAACCAAATAATAATCAGAATTTATGAGATTTCATGAGTAATAGACATTTTAAAATAATTTTGAGTAAAATAAGAGAAATAAGAACAGAAATTCTATTATCTATTCAATTAGCAAACACAGAATAGCTTATAAAACAGAAAGATTTACCCACATAGATCCAAAAGATGAATGTAGTACTTAATGGCCTCACGTTTTGTTTTCTAATTTCCTGAGACAAAGTCATATCCTAAAACTAGCCAGTTTGAAAACATGAGATACTTAGAAGATTCCAGTTTCAGTTACAATACAAATTTATGCAAACTTTTTTATTTTAACAAATATCTTTGTTGAACCCCCAAAACAAAACTTTTTACCAACCTCTCTTCTTAATTTGCTGTTTTCATTTTCTGCCTCTTCATTTCGAAGAGCCAACTAAAACGGTAAAAAAAGAAAAAAAAGGTAAAATTCAGCAGCAATTTAATATAAAACTATTAATTTTAAAATAATTTAGTTTTTAAATCCTCTCCGATAGAGAATCTTTAACTAATAAGAAACCTTTATCACCCTAAAGCATAAATAAAGACAAAATTTTCAAAAACTAAGGATGAGGAAGGAAAAACTGGTTCAGTTTAAAAGATTAAATACACACACACACACACACACACACACACAAACAAAACAAAACAAAAAAATCTGCTAACCAAAAGATACAGAAACAAATTATCCTCCCTCTGCCAGGCCAAATAGCCATAGTAAAACAAGTGGTTTTCCCTCCCAGATCTTCACATTTCACTGTTCTATTTTTTGCTTTCCATGAGAATTAAATTACTTAAAAAATATAAGGCAGTGCAACACAATGGTTAAAAAAGGCAATCTGGTGCTAGCTTTGGCAGCACATATACTAAAATTAAAATGATACAGAGAAGATTAGCATGGCCCCTGCGCAAAAGATGCCATGCAAATTCATGAAGCGTTCCATATTTTTTAGAAATAAATAAATAAATAAATAAACAACAAAAGGCAATCTGAAATTAGAATGGCTTAGGTTCATATCCCTTGTCCACCAATTTCCAGCAAAGTGTGAAAAAGTCATTTAACGTCCCTACCAAATTTAGTTTTCACGTTTTGTATATTGATGTAAGAATTAAATAAGATGCAAAGTCCTTACCATAATGCTTAGTGAATGAAATAGGTAGAAAACTATTCTGTGTTCTCTTCACCACATCAAAATCATCTCATTAGTGACTTTTGTTTCTCCAAACAAGCAAAATTATCATAATCATTATGATGTTTTTTATCTATTCTCTATACCTCTTTCCCCTTAGGACCTTTCACTTTTCTGTTATTCCCCTTTATTCACAGAAAGATAAAATAAGAGTGGTATATAACCATATTTAAAAGTCTATAATAACCAAATGTAGTCTGTGATTCTTGCTGGAACCTCAGATATTGGAGGTGAGAGGACAATGAAAAACATTACTGGTCTGCTAGAGGAAATCTAATTACAGACTAGACGACAGCATTGGATCAATATTAAATTTCCTGAGCATGGGAATTACATTGTAGTCATGTCTCTCTCTTTCAGAAGACATGTTTCAATAATTAAAAGTGTGAAGTATCGCATGGCGCCTGCGGCTCAAAGGAGTAGGGCGTTGGTCCCATATACCCCAAGTGGTGGGTTCAAACTCAGCCCTAGCCTTAGGAAAAAAGTGTGAAGTATCATGATATCTTCGATTAACTTCCAAATGGTTCAGCAAAAACAGAGAAAGACAGATACTTCTGTGAGGACAAAGATACTGATGGAAAAATAAGCAACTGTAGCACTGTGTTAACAAGTGAATGAATCTGCATGTTCTGAAGTGGAAAATTTTAACAAGGGAAAAAACCCAAAACTTAATGCTATAGTATTTAATGCTACTAATGCTTTTTTCCCTTGGCTTCTCACACATCACATTCCAATGTGTCTCCTTTCTTGAGCTTTTCCTTGAAGAACCTTTTCCTATCTCACTGCTGGATTAGACATTTCTCAGAAATATGCTTTACAATCACTTCAATAATATCTATGCTGATGACCCATAAATCCTCATTCTCAGCCCAGTGTCTCTTATGAATTCCATATCCAAAACCATCCTTTTTGAATATGCCCAGGAGGACCTCAAACTCAAAACAGGTATAGAACTGAAATAATAATCTCAAACTTTCCAGACCCCTCTGTGCTCTTTCTTAGTGAATGGCACAATCTTCCTACCTGATAGCCAAACCCAGAAAGTAGGCAGACTCTCCATTCCCCACTCTCCTCTAACAACCAATCATTCATGATGTCTAATTAACTGCATCTACTTCTCTCAAATATGTCTATGTCTCTCAATACTCTCAAGAATTATCTTAATTATTAGTACTTACCTGAATTAACACAAATATCTCTTTTATGGTATTAGCTCCCTTCAATCCACTCTCTACAAAGCAAGTAAACATTTAAAAAGTATTGATCTGATCATGATATTCTGTGCTCAAAATTCTTCATTGACTCATTTTAGGAAAAGGACCAAATTCTTCAGAAACTATCCTTGCTTATTTCTCCAGAGGATCATGAATATTAAAACTGGGAAGGCAGGATAGCCCAGACTCTTGAGTAAGCCTGTTTGAATTCAAATTCTGGTTTTACCACTTATCAGTTATATAACCGTCAGCAATCACTCTTTTTGTGTCTCAATTCCTTCATCTGTGGCACGGTAGATAGAAATGACTTATTTCATATGGTAAGTATGAAATAAGGACTAACGAAGTAATGCATATAAAGTACCTGGAAGAAAGTAAGGACTCTATGGAAGCTATATATGTCGATATTCCAGACAAATTCAATGTCATTTCCTAAATATACTATAATATCTCTTACCTCTTACACTGTATCTTTTACCTAGAATATTTTTTTCGTAACCACCATGTATATCCACATTTCCTTTGCCAGGCTGACTTCTACTTCAAGTCTCAGTTTACATACATATCACTTCCTAAACCTCAAGACTAATTTAGGTATCCCTCTTCAGAGTACCCCAGGGGACATCTTTATTTAACCCTTTAAGTTCACATGTCTAACATTATCCCTATGTTATGTTTATTATTAACTGTGAATATTCTTGAGAATCAGAACATAGTTGCCCCCTGTATTCAGAGTAACTAACACAGTCCCTGGCATGCTATAAATACTCAATATGACTGAATGACTGTTTAAGGTCAAGGAAAGAATTGCCAGCCTGTATCCATAGTCCCTCTCAAGGCATCTAACAGCTGGAACGCTCCATCAGCCAGATATTCAAGTTGTGTGTGTGTGTGTGTGCCTAGGAATAGAGATGGTACTTGAAGATAGGAATCGACAAAGTAGTTCCGATTAGCTAAGAGTGTATGACATGAATAAGTAAACTGATATACAGCCTAGATAAAATAACAAAGGTCTAAAAAAAACAGATATCTTCCTAAATAATTCTATTAGTGAATAAAATAAGTTGGATCCTTTACAATTACTAAAAAATCCATAGGTGTATTTTATTTTGCTGAGTCCACGAAACGGAAAAACCTCTAATCATTTATTACTAACCTTTCAGGCAGCATCAATCCATACTTTTTCCACCACAATAACTGTATTGGTAGCTAACTTTTAAATGATGCTTTTAAATCAGAGGTTCTCAACCTGTGGGTCGCGACCCACAGGAACTGTATTAAAGGGCCACAGCAATAGGAAGGTTGAGAACCACTGTTCTAAAGTATAGAGTAAAATACATACAAGAAAGGGGATACTTGTCCTTACAAACCAACTTATGATAGACTCTCTTTAAATAGCAATGTTATCTTATAATCATTTTTGGGTACTTGAAATCTATTTCTCTATTTCTGGCAGAACAATGGACAAAATAAGATTAACAGGAGTTAAGCTTTTTTTACCTTAGTGTCTTAATAGAAGGTCACTGTTAATGATATATTCCTGTTAATCTTATTTACAAAGGTAAAAAAAGCTTCTGGCCAGCAAGACTGGGTCAGTTATCACAGTTAGACACCAAATCTGTACCAAATTTGATAATAGCTAAGGTAAAATAACTATTATTAAATAAATATTAAACAAGTATGTTAAATAAATAAATAAATAAAACATTGAGTAAGATGGTGAGGTAAAACAGAAAGTTTTCTGCTGAGACATAGAAATTTATCTGCAAGAAAACAACTTTTGTTCTGAAACTAAATTTAAGTGAGCACTGTATGAACTATTTTATAACTAACAAGAAGTAACACAAGAGGTAATAACAAACTATGCTTGTTTTAAAAATATAATTTTAAATATGAATGCTTTATGAAACACTGACAATAACACAACTTACAAGAATGTATATGTATTATAGATAGTAAAGTACATCTGAAAACAAGGAATTTAACTGAATATATCAATAAAAAATTAATTTCCAAATATATTTCCAGCATAAATATAATAAATATAACTTTTTACTCAAATCAACTATCATAGTAAAGTCACTTGTTTATGAATAACTATTAATTTCTTCATACCAGTATTCAAGACCAAAGCATAAATTTTATATTATGTAATAATGTTAATGTCCTGAGAAAAATGTACCTCCAAATATAAAGAATTAATTTCCAGGTCATATTCACTAGAAGAACCTGATCCACTATATTTTAAAGCTGTGATGACAAAATAAACAGTGACATAAAACCTTAGAGACAAGTGTTTCATTCCTCAAATATGTATGCAACACAAAAACTGATACTGTTGCCAAATTATAGAAAGAAAAATCAGGTGTTCTATTAAGGTAACCTGACTAGTTAAGATTCATTAAAAAAGCGTTTTACTTGTTCATTAACTTTCTTCTCCTTCTCCAGCTCCTTTTCTATGTCCTCCAATTCTCTATCTTTTTGTTCCAATTGTTTTTCAAGTTGGCGAATTTCATCACGTAAAAACCGAGTGTCCCGTCCACCAGCAGACTGCTGAGCCATCTTAAAGCAATAAATCAAAAGTAAAAATCAAGCCCCTTACACTTAGAGGTTCATTACAATTAAATTTTTATTACGTTTTAGGATAGATACATTAGCTTAAGGACCACTTTTTTAAAAAATTCAACTTACTCAAACTTCAGTTCACAGCCTGACAATTCCTTACGCTTTCCCTGAGCCACAAGTACCAAACTAAAATGCAAAAGCATAAGATGTAGGCAATAAACAAACTATCAAGGCATCTCCTGAGGCTCAGAGATATAAAACCAGGCTACAAACCAAAGAGCTACAAACTCTTAGAGCCTAATCCTAGCAGCAAACTTCGGTGCTTTTAACCTCTCCTTTCCATCATAACATGGAATGTTTAGACCAGTGCTATCCAACAGGACTTTTTAGGATAATGGAAATGTTCTCTGCTGTCCAGTACAACAGCCACAATCTCCATGTAGCTATTAAGTACGTGAAATGTGACTAATGCTACTGAAGAACTGCACTATTGATTGTAACAGAAATATATAGGCATAAACAGATAGTTCTCAAAATCCATCAAAATCTATTGGGAATTAAAGCACATAGCTCACAGTCTTTCCTCCAAAGCCGGCCTAAAAATGTAATAGAGCACATAATTTTGCTTTACTCTATTTTTTTTTTTTACTTCTTTATTGAATTCATTATTGTCTCCCACTCCCACACACTAGATCATTATCCAAGCAGGAACATTCAATTTCCACTACGCCTGCTCTCTGATCTAACAGGACACTTTAATTCCTTGACTTCTCTTCTCCCTCCCCATCTCTAACCTTCCCCCCACTCAACCCAATCTTGATTTCCCTACCAATTCACCTAATAGTTCATAATCCTCACTTCAACTACTTTCCTGCCAATATCTTCAACTGCCCTACCCTTCTATTCTACAGTCAACTGCTTTGCTAAATACTAACACAGAATCAATCCAACTTCCTAATTAAGTAGTTCTTAAAAATGTGTGGCACTTTCCCAGGAACTGGATATGCAGTATAAGACAAGAGATAACTCATCCCAGCTCACAGTATTAACAAGTAGAAGAATCAGGACTAGAACTCAAGTATGACCTCTCCTCTCTATCTTCTACTTCAAGCTTTACCTGATTTCCTTACAATGTGACCACACCAGCTCCTACTCATGCTTTTAGCAGACAATATCATCTCCAACCGCTTAACTTTCAGGCACTGCCACCTACAAACATAAAAAGCTCTGTACACACCCACTCTTCCTCCCCCTCCTAATATAAAGGGAGGGTCTTCCTCATTCCAAAGGCTAATCAATTTGTACAACTTCCTACCATCTCAGAAATTTCAATGTATTTAGTTCCTCAACAATACATTCATATTTTAGACCTTGGCTTTGTCAAGTTGCTTCTCCTATAATACCCTTCTGTCACTATACCTCAAATCTCTACCCATCCTCTACTTAAGTTACTAGCAACCCTTCCGTATACTCCCTGAGACTGTAAGCTCCATCCAGCCACTATTTTTATTGTATTCACAATTGGATGCTCAATCCTTACTAGAATTTAAGGCACATCATAGTCATGCAGAATATATACTGAGCAAATTAGCAAATTAAGTAACTCTGAGCACAATGTCATCCCTGTGATTTTTCCAGCTATAAATAAAAAAAAATTTTAAATAATTCAAAATAAGAAAAATGAATGACAATTACATTCTACAATTACAGGACATACAAAAGAACATACCTCCAGTTCATTTTCCAGTTTCATGACTTTAGTTTTTAACTGATTCTCTATTTAAAAAAAAAAGAGAGAAATGTTTCCACTGGTTAGAGTTACCTGAGGACAAGCTTTCAAATGAATTGAATAACAGAAAATAATTATTTTAAAGGATTCCATTATGATTACAGCAAGGCAACATATAAGAAAATAACTATTATACATTAGACCCATAAAATAGGACCTATAAAAATATATTTTAAAATAAACTAAATACATACAGTTTATAGAACACATTACTCTACCTTAATGAATAAATGGACTTTATTATTTAACCCCATAATAAACTTATTCCAAGGTGCTTACCAAATTTTGCTTGTTCTTCTCCAGCTTTTTCGACTTCTTCCAAGGCTAGCTCTACTTCTTGGGCTTTCATCTAAACATTAAAACAATTATTTAAATATGCCTTTATACTGGAATGTAGCAATAAGTAATCCCTAGTGTCTACAAGGGACTGTACAAGGAGACATTTGGTAGACATTTGTTGAATGAGTAAATGAATTATTTTCATACTTAAGGTTATAATTTCCAGATTTTTAAATTTACAACATCTTTGACTCTACCTTTTACCTCAAGTCCTCAAGTCTTATATCCAGTTTCGCAACTTCTTTTTTTGCCATGTTTCTCACTAATTCTTACCTGTTCTTACCTGCTCTCATCTATAATTTTATATCTAAAAGCCTTCATAATTTTATGTCTAAACAGTTCCAATTCCTTTCTATGACCTAAAAAACATAACTCAGTTTTGCAATCCTAAGGCTTATTTCTGTATCTACTAGCATGGTTCAAAAATCTTTATTAGCCTCTCAATTGCTGAGAGCACATAATAAACCTTTATAATCTACACAAACTACCTACCCAAGACTTACTTTCTTTACAACCTTCTAAACCTTTCCACATGTAAAGAATAAACATGTTTCCCATCCTCAGTATTTATTTATGAACCACTGGCACTAGAATTCCATTACCATCTTACCATTACCATCCAGAACTACCGTTCAGTCTTTGTCCTTTTTATGAAGTCTTCTGATACCTCAAAAATCACTTCCCCCCAACCCAACAAACGCCTCTAACAGTCACTGTCTACATTTTCACAAAATTTAACTTCTACATTATTTTTAAACCAACTGTTCTGTTTCCCCTACACATTCTTTTAGGAACCTTAAGTAGAAATGGGTGATGTTTACACACAAAATCCTCAACCCACATTTGAAGGTATTTCGGGGTGATTTAAATATTATCAAGTACTTCCGCAGGGATTTAAAAAGAGATTCTTAAATTTCCTCTAATAGCCAAAACCTACTGCATACAAACCTTCATCAGTGACTGAGTAATTCTGAAAAGGTGGATCATATTTTCTTGATTTTCATTTTTTAGCTCATTTACTTCCACCTAAGTAAACAGAAAAGCAATATTTTTTTAATTTTATAACTTTAAGCAAAATATTATAACTCTTCTAGTTATGCCATTCAGTGATTTAAGGGACAACTTAATCATGGATCAATGTATATGTACATGTATTATTTATCAATTAAACACCTTGGATAAGGAAATCAATAAATTGTCTGCCAGTTCTTCCTGACGAGGTAGGTCATCTGGGTCAACTTTCATTAACTCTTTCCAGTTTATATTAGGTGGCATCTTGAATTCTTTCACTGTGCTCCGCTTCTGTAACAAAATAGGTAGATACTAGCATTTTTAACATAGACAACGCCACTGTTTTTTACAATAGAGTGTTTTACAGTCTACATCACTATAACTTTCTATGGTGTTAGCAGAGCTGTGGCTCCTTAACCTCAAGACAGACAGAATGAGCAAAATAGCCTTGATCAAAATTATAGCAGTCACGACAGACACTGTGCCTACAACAAAATATGACTCCTACCTTGCTAAAATAAAACTAACACAGGTCAGGACTGAGGTTCTGAGTCCCCTTCTGAACACCCTCTCCCATCAAGGCGCGCGAACGCCTACTCGTGCCAAGTGCCAGGGTGTGTGGAAAGCCGAAAATGACCTCTGATGAAAAGAAACTAGGAATGGAGTTAAGAAAAAAAATATGCAGAAGTAAACAACTGAAACGAGTGAAGTGTGGGGAAACCAGACCTGAAGTTAAGGCAGAAGGATTGCAAACCAGAGCCTAGATGGGGCGGGGTAGGTAGGAGGTTGCAAGCGGGCCCTGAGGCTAAACAACCAGAGAGGGAACGGACTCCCCTTCTCGCTTACAAGGATCCACCCACCTAGACCAGCCTGGCAACCAGCGAAGGTCTCTCATCTACCGCACCCACCAAGCTGGGCCCCGCTGCGGCTCCGGACAGCTCCCTAGAGCGGCTCCACGCGGACTCTGCGTCCGGCTAACCGGTCCCGAGCCAGCCAAAGCGACGACGGCTGCTAAGCGACACCATTCCCCACCCCGGGGGCCAGAATAAGGTCCCGGATGCACGGGGAGCATACAGTTCACGACCGTGGGTGACGCTTTACGTTCCGATTACACGCCAGGTTCCCTGGACGCCGGTGTTGAAGACTGAAGGCGTGGATGAGGACTCCAAATCCCAGAGTGCAGTTCTGCCCTGAAGCTTGTGCATGCTGGGAATTGAAGTCTCAGAAGGAGGCAGGGCGCTCCCGGCGTGCAGTGCGGGACGCTGCGCCCGTACCGGGGCGGCGGGTGAAGACTAGGAGGCGGGAGGCGCGGAGGCTGAGGTGCGTCCGCGCTGGTGGGCCGAAAAAGGTGGACCATGACTGTGGCTTCGGTGGCTTCATTCGCTGGGCTGCTCTTCCTGCGGTTTTCCTAAACCATTCCCTGGTGGAACCGCTCCCAGGTGAGGTCGAGCTGTCGGGTCAGCAGATGGGGAGGAGTTGAGGGGAGCGGTCCGGGCAGTGGGAAGCGCCTATTGGGGCCCAAGGGCCTGGCCCGGCTTTAAAGAGGTGGGAGGATTTCGCTTTCTCCTGAAGCGTTTGCAAGCGGCATTCAGGGTAGTTTCTTCTGTAAGAATGGAAGGAAGAAGTTTCAGCCTTTTTTGGTGTCAGAATCTGGGCAGAGCGGGGGCCACGCAGCCATGCCTTGGTTTGGGTGCGAGAGAATTGAGGACACCGCATCCTCCTACTCCTCCCGCCTTGCTCGTAACACCATTGCTTTCTCGGATAGAAGGGCTTGAAGGTTGGGGACCTAGGAAAAAGTGAAGGCTCTAGCACTGCGTGGGTGGAGAGGGAAGGGACGGGAAACTCACCTACACGGCTGTTGTCACTTGGTTACCCAGGGCACTGCAGTGAAAGCACCCTGTAATCAAGTGTTGACCATTCTGAACTCTTAGGAAGTTTTGCTCATCCCACTGCTCACTGTTCTGGAGTGTGATAGACCACTAGGTAGTTTTCTTAAAAAGCTGAAGATGTGATACCATAAATGTTATTTCCAACTACTTGGACCAGTGCCGCTCATCTTTATCTTTTGTAAGCGCTTATTTTTTATTCCTTTACGTAATTGACTACATTTCCTTTGAAAATAAGGAATGAATTTCTTTTTAAACCTTGAGTTTGGGCAAAACAAGAACTAGCTCAGTAGGAAATAAAGATTTTGTGAGATGCATTTCAGGTATTCATGAAATTTGTAGGAATAATTTTGTATATTCCTTTTCTGAAAGATGATATGACAGAAATTGTTCATTATGTTAGTTAATCTTCACAGCAATCCGGTGAAACAGGTGCCTACATGTTCTCATGTTCCATCTATGTTAAGAAACTTGAGGCTTGGAGAGTTTAAGTACTGTGTTTTAATATAATGTGATTGAACACAGGTTTTAATGACTGGAGTACATACTAACTGCTCTACTAAATCCCCAAACATTGTGGGAAGCAGTATCTATAAAGTGCTTTGTCTTTTTTCTTGCTATTTCTGTTATATGTTATCACATTCTAATTTTATAACTTGATTCCATTTGAATTAAATACTCTTCATATTCGGTGTTTTTATTCTTAACTTGGCAGGGGATGGTAGGGAGGAAATTTAATTTTTATTGAGCATGTATTATGTACTGTGTTTACTAGTGCGTATTTTCTCAATAGTAATCTGTTATTTTTACTATAGCACATTTTTGTTTATTATAATTATTATTTTTATTAATTTGGTAGTTCATCTGTGTTGGTTTCTTACACCCTCACTCTCTTGCTTACATTTATATTCCCAAGAACTCAAGTGTCTGGTCTAATGATAAGTTTTTATTTATTTATTTATTTATTTAGTTTTAGTCTCACTTTGTCACCCTTGGAAGAGTGCCATGCTCACAGCAGTCTCCAACTCTTGGGCTCATAGTGACTCTCTTGCCTCAGCCTCCCCGTTAGCTGGGACTACAGGCACCTGCCACTACACCCTGCTATTTTAGTGATGAGGTCTCACTCTTGCTCAGCACACTAGGCCTTCCACAGTGCTAGGATTACAGGTGTGAGCCACCACGCCTGGCAGTCTAATGATAAGTTTTATTATAATTTTTCAGAAATGAGAAGGAGTTTAGAGAAGTTATTTCATAATAGATGAAGCTGAGACTGTAACCTAGATCTCAGTGACGATCCTTGTGAAAAGCAAAATCTTGCTTAAATTTCATTCTTTAACTCGTAACGTTTTGATCTTGTACACTGTGGTTGACACTGGAGCTGCAACAAGGAATGAGTTAACTGGTTCTTGGGCACTGTCATCTATTTGTACCTAATTGTAAATGATAAAACTTACTCAAGTTCTAGGTCACAGTAACTCATCATATTTCTTTGAGGAAAATTTGTTAAAACTCTATTTTTCATCAGACTTTCTGCATCCATCAATTTTCATCAAGAGGTGGAATTTAACTGGCAATTGTGAAGATGGCTTGTTACAGAAACACATGCCTGGACCTGCCTTCTTTTTTTCCCCCTAGGTTTTTATGAGAAGCTTTATGTGACCAAAATCACTTCACAAGAAAGTCTTCCCTTTTATAATTGCTACATTTGTTCCCTGAACCAAAGATTCTATATTTCTTAGAAGTTACTTGCATTTTCTTGTTGCTGCCTTATCAAGAAAATGAATGGTAGCTTACTTTTCTGGGTCTAAAATAAAATGTGGCCATAAGAAATTTAGTATCCTATGTATAGTAAATGTTTTATTTTGTCTTATTTTAGGGGTTAAGAATGAGTGTGCAACAAACAGACACTTGTTTGCCTTCAACATGAGATTTGGAAGATAAGTAGGAGTCATGGTGAATGTAAACTTTGTAGACCAAACTAACTACATTAACAAACTTTAGTAATTAAATATAGTAGATTACTTTTCTTATAAAAGATGATATAATAATAATGATATTGGGAGGACTTCCCCAATTACCCAAGAGGATGACCTGGGAAAACTTTCCTTTCCAGGCTAAATATTTTCACATTGATGTGAACTTATTTTGTAGGTTGATGTTTTTTTAATTTTATAAAGTTGTATTATTACACAACATCAATACTCTAAACAATTTTGTTGAAGGAATTGTGTTTCATATCTCTACTGTAGCTCATGAGTAGTTTTTAATTGCAGTTGGATTTTGTGCACGTAGTGACACCCCATTTTTGCAAGCAAGCGTAAATCAGTCATCCCATCCTGATAGTCGGCAGCCATCTGTGAGTTTGCTCTTACACGTAGGAAAAACAAGAAGTTCCCACAACTAACAGCAATGATGTGTTACATGATTGCAGTAACGGCCCCCAGTGAGTCATGTCAGTCTATACCCTTATTGTAAACCCTTCCTTTCCCCAACCTCTACTTTGCAAGTGGATTCTTTTGGACATAATTTAAGAAGACTCCACATCTGAACTAATGACATGCTCTTTCTCACTTTCTCTCATAATACACTCCCTTGAGGAATCTTAACAATTTTGTTGTCTTAACCCTTTTTTAATCTCTCTCTCTTTGATTCTGGATTTACCTTCCTTGATTAGTAGTAAAAACATAGTAAACAAAAGCATATGAAGCTTTGGAACTTGCCTTTCTATTGTCTTGAGATCATCGTTTAAAAAACCCACGTTAACCTAATAGAAGATTTGACTATAAGTAGCAGCGACTAGCTTTGAAAAATAAGACCCCTCCCCTTTCAACCTGCAGTCTCCAACTCATAGGCCACAGACTGATACTGGTCCATGTCCTGTTATGGACTGAGCTGTGCAGCAGGAGGTGAGAGGCAGTTGAGGATATGAAGCTTCATCCGTATTTACAGCTGTTCCCCATCACCTGCATCACTGCCTGAGCTGCACATCTGTCTGATCAGGAGTAGCATTAGATTCTCATATGAGTGTGAAACCTATTATAAACTGTGCATGTGAGGGATCTAGGTTGTATACATCTTATTAGAATCTAATGCCTGATATTCTGAGACAGAGATATAATGCACTTGAGTCATCCTCAGACTGTCTGACCTCTGCCTCACCCTCACCTGGTTTGTGGAAAAATTATCTTCCATGAAACTGGGCTGTAGTGCCAAAAAGATTAGGTCCCACTGCTTTAAATCATCAAGGTCTAGTCATGCCACAGGATAGCTATGAGCACATGAATGACCCCAGGCACAACTAATAGATACATACAGATAAATATATATTTAGAGTGTATAGCACAAACATGTATATCTGTATCAGATAAAGATATTTGTATTGATTTGAGTGAATTTATTTTTTAAGTACTTCAGATAAAGATACCTAACTTAACAAGCAAAATCTTCTCAATATGTAAGTAATTGCTATAAATCTAGCAAGTTAACCTTAAAACTATAGTGACTCCCAAATTCTTATAAAAGATTTTATTACTATTAGCCTACTTAGCTAAATTGTCATACTTTACAACAAAAAAATTCTAAATTCAGATATTGCATAGTCAGTAATTTGTATGTGTATTACGCATATATTTTAAAACTACAGCTATGAAGCCAATGTATCAAAGTATCCAAGATGTCAGAATCTCTTAAACATATTACAAGTACTATTAAAATAGGATACATAAGTGATTCCCAAATATAATTTCAAAGTATTAGAATCACTGGTTTAACTTATAGCTTTTTCTTCTATTAATTTTAAACTTTCCTATGGTTAGAACATTGAATCAAACAGCATTTTTCACACCAACTGAATTAGTGTTAGCAGATCAAGGGACTTGAGTTATGTATGGGAGAGAGGGGTTTCTGACCCGTACACAAAACTTAATTTTTATTTACCTAATGATGGGTGCTCTGAGTTGTTTCATTTTGTTTTTCTAAATCATAACATATGTATGTTGCTAACTAGTGTAGGATCTTGTTCCTTGGTTTCTCTATTTCTTGGTCTGCTCCCTCATTTTAGTATAGTACCTCTTCTAGTTTCCTTAAGACACATCATATGTAAATTTTTTAAAACCTTGACTAACTTACTATGTTTTTATTCTTTCCCACTTGGAAAATTTGAGTTACTAATATAGATTTCAGAATGGAAATCATTATTCCTCAGAAATTTGAAAAATTACTCCCTTTCAGAGAGGCAATTTTTTTTTTCTAGCTTATAGTATTGTTGGTGAAAACATGGTTGATTCCTCCCGTTTGATATGGAACCTGCTTTGTTTATGGATGATTTTATCTCTAGCATTATAAAATCTTACAGGATTCTGTGCCCAGTTGAAGAAGCAGGCTGGAGAGTTTAGACATAAAATGTGTCAGGCTCAGCGCCTGTGGCTCAAGTGGCTAAGGTGCCAGCCACATACACCCAAGGTGGCGGGTTCGAATCCAGCCCGGGCCCGCCAAACAACAATGACGGCTGCAACCAAAAAATAGCCGGGCGTTGTGGCGGGCGCCTGTGGTCCCAGCTACCTGGGAGGCGGAGGCAGGAGACTTGCTTGAGCCCAGGAGTTGGAGGTTGCTGTGAGCTGAGATGCTACGGCACTCTACACAGGGGGACAGCTTGAGGCTCTGTCTCAAAAAAAAAAAAAAGTGTCAACAGACTTTCCTTAACCTTTGTTTTCAGTGTGTTCCCTTTGTTCTCACTTGTATCCACTATTCCAGAGACCCCATTTTGTATATACTTGAGAGAAAATCTCCAGCCTTCTTCCATGGTGTAGGAGCGATGATTACTTAGCTGTATCTAGTAAGGGGGGCGGGGGGGGGGGTCTGAACTGAACTGTAACACATGTGTTTCAGTAATGCAGCTTAGAGGTGAATGGCACTAAGCTAAACTTCTCTGGAAAATTAACATGCAATCTTTATTTTACTTATCTACCTACTAATTGAACTTATTTGAAAAAACGTATTGCCTATTTTATTTTTATGTTTTTTTTTTTCCAGCTTTTGTCTGCAAGTGCTTGTAGGAAAGATGGCTGACATTAACCTCAAAGAAGTAACCTTAATAGTAGGTGTAATTACTGCCTGCTATTGGAACAGCCTCTTTTGTGGTTTTGTTTTTGATGATGTTTCAGCAATACTGGATAATAAAGACCTACATCCATCTACACCTTTAAAAACCTTATTTCAAAATGACTTCTGGGGAACCCCTATGTCTGAGGTAAGTAAGTAAATACTGCTTATACATATTTCAGATTTTAAAACATTTTGGTAGTTTATTACTCCTGATTCTTTTTTTATCAACATTGTCATCATCTCAGTTATAAATTTTTCCCCTAAAGATTTATCTGAGACATAACATGTCGGTAATAAATTTGATAGAAAGTTGAAGGTGTGATTATAATCTACATTCTTTAAAGCAGTACTTGATTTCCTTTTTTGTCTGTGTATCTTGGTAAAACTTTAAAAAATAATACAGGTATGTGAAAAACATATGTCGGGAGAACAACAGGTGTGATACAAGTCTGTTTCTTGCCAAATGACTTTTTTCTCTTTTTTTCTGTCTTATAAGTGATGCAAAAAAGATGACTTTGTATTTCACTATTTAAAGTATAGCAACTTGAAATAAATTAGACTTTAAGGGTTAAAAATAGTAAGTACACATTGTCATCTTCTCTGCAGGGAAAAAATGGTTATTAAAAATTTTAAATCATTGTCATATCTGTTACTTGATAGTCATTTGGGTTTTATCTTTAGAACTCAAAAGTTTAGTTCATTGTTATGAGGGTATTTTTACTCTGCCAGTAACTTTCCTTTGAAGATCAATTGATTAGACTATTTGGGATTAAATCCTGGTCAGCGTGGGATCATTTGGTTGGATTTTAGTTCTGTTTTATGTTTGCTGTGTGAAATAGTTGAGCATACAGCTTTTAGATGGCAAGTGATTTTCCTGAACTGTCAAAGAGAATAATACTTGAGGATAATAAATAAATTAATATATCTATCTATAATATGCCTGGCACATAGATACTGAATGAATTATTGTGGAAACATAACATGTAATACTTTGTTTCTCAGAGATAATTTGTGACCTCTTTTCTCCCCCAAATTTGGAAGCTTCTCAAGGGTAGGGATAGAATTTTTTATTCCTCTAAGCACAAAGCACATCGTAAATATTTTTTTCTTATTAAGTAAACAGATCTTATTTGTCTCTAACCTTTCTATTCTCACCCAATTCTAGTTTTTGGGAAAAATCCTTTGATAATAAGAGAAAAACATGGCCATATGATATGTTATTTCCAGACATTTTGCTCCTTTCTACTGCTACCCTTGGTCCCCAGAGATCATCAGAAATGTTTTTCACTCCCCTACCGTATGGTAGTTATCTGTTGTGATTTTAGTCATTATGTTGAGATTTTGAACTGGAAGTTTAACAGGCCAGATTAAAGAGTCTATGTCACTGAATTATATTCTAGGATGTAATTATATCCTAGAAGCCTAGGCATATATACACATAATAAGGATTTTTATCCCAATGTGAATCTTAAAAACACATTTTAAGACATTCTCCTGAGCCATATGAAAATAACTGCCATATTAGGGGTCTTTGGACTCCTATGGACTTCTGAGTAGTTAGATTATCTGTTTAGTAAGTCCATTCTGTTTATTGCTAGTTCACTGAATCACATCTCTGGCTGCCAAATCAAAATCAGCCTAGGCCTTAGAAAAATAAATAATAAATAGCCAAGCTTCTATCCAAACCTGTTATTTGAGATAATCTCTCAGAATCAGATGTAAGCATCAATATTTCTTATCTTATTTTGTGTGTGTGTTTTATTATTTTTGTTGGGGGGGGCAGTGCTTTGTTTGTTTGAAGTCACCCAAGTGATTGTGCGGTGCAGCCATGGCTGAGAACCACTGTCTCAGATAAATCTTTAGGGGAAAAATTCATAACTGAGATGATGACAATGTTGATAAAAAAAGAATTAGGAGTAATAAACTATCATTATACTCATGCTTATTTTTGTCAAATAAAATTATGATTTTACTAATAAAACTATTAGTATTGTGATAATAGTATCATAATACTTGTACTATTAGTATTTATTTACTAATAAATTATTAGTATTATGATTTTACGAATATCATAAGTAATTTTTTCTTTAATGTGTTTGATAATTAAGACCTGAATTGTTTTGTTCATAATGGATATAACTGTTGTACTATATTTTCAGGGTAAACTTGATATCTAATAAGCTGATGATTGATTGTCATAGTAGGGTTTTAATTAGATTTCCAATGTGTGGCCTATTAGTTATGTTAATGATTAATCTTTTAGTTGGCCATTACTTTTAACATATATACATCTACTAGACCTAACTGAATATTTATGTGTACTGCAATTAAAAATAGGTATTCCCTTCTACTTTCTGGTTTTATACTTTTACCGATCAGGTGTGTTCCAGTGGAGCCACAATAATATTTCAGAAAAAAGATTTCTAGGTTTCTAGAATATTTTTCTGCTTTCTTGTACTAAATGTATCAGTTCAATACAGTGCCTTAAAAATAATTTTGTATACCTGAGATGAAATTTGATGTTAGGTACAAGAATTAGCCAAACAGGAAAGGATATTCTGAGTAGATGGTATGTCGTGGTATATGTAGTCAGTGCAAGCAGAGATGGTAAAATGCTCCTAATTTCAAGATGGGAAAGGTAAAGTTTTTATGTCCTTCATGTTTACTTGGATGGAGCTGGAAAATATTCTTCTTAGCAAAGTATCACAAGAATGGAAGAAAAAGTATCCAATGTACACAGCCCTATTATGAAACTAATTTATATGAACGCTATAACCTAATTACAGCCTAAGAATATGGGGAGAGGGAGGAGAGGGGCAATGGGTG